TTACCGTCCAGTTATTTAAACTGGTAAGTTAGCTAATGGTATAACGTATGTGAATTACGGAAATAGTCGTTGCACTGGGTAGCTGCTGTCAACTGCAAAACACCAAGGACATGCTCTTTGAGCAGGCGTTTTGTACTCATCACCTGAAAAAATGAATGCTAAAGGATTTGTGGAACTGTATAGATAGCAGGAAATATATCGCTCACAATATTGAATGAATAAAAGACAACAACTCTAAAAATGCTAATCTCAAGATGCTGTGCACTTAAACATGCTACGAAGTTATTGAAGAATGCGGAAGATATGTGCGATCCTCTTAAAACTAAATAGAATTAACAAGATAACTTTTAGACAAGTTTTTTATACAGTATTCGACCAAGTAGACAATCCTACCCATTACCAAACTCTTTGAATAGGAGTTAACCAGACTTTGTTCCGAGGCAACACTGAACGATTGGAAATGATTGTAGATTGTAGGAAACGAACTCAGCGGACAAGGCTGACATTCATGAACTCTTCTTAGCATTATATGTAGTGTTTATGTTCTAAAGGTTCATGTGCGACCAAAAAAGCGTACAAGTTCTCTAGAATTTTGCTGCATTATATTTTTAAAAAGTGATTGCCGTTATCAGCTGTTTAGTTTTTATCACGTCACTATGTACGTTTCCTCTCATTTTCTCCAAGCTATTCATTTCTGTGCGTACCTTGTTTGTAGAATTGATTTCTATACCAGTCGCCTTGGGTATGATATCCACGATAGAATGATGGAAACGGGGTGTAGGTTTTTAATGCTGTAAAACTTCGTTTGTTAAAATAAGGGGAAACGAGCGATAGCTGGAACAATTCGCGTAGAACCTTTGAGAAATTTGCTAAAAGAGTGAGCAAAGTCAGCGTAAATTTATACTCGCCCGCTCCTTTTGCTCTTCCAAGCGTAGACGGTCCTGGTCCAACGAGGGTTCGACTAGCAGTTGGCCCAACATTGACTCCAAATAAAGTCCATCTCAGCCTCACCAGGTCATCTGCTGCAGACGCTCTAGAGCCGATATCTGTACCAGCTCCCTGGCTATCCCATTCAGTTATTCCTCCACTAGAACGAATTACATGTAGTTGTAACAGTGGACGGTTGGAAAAAAATTCATAAGGGGACTGAAGTACTTGTTCAGGCGAAAGGCTTTGAAGGCTTTTAGTCTATCTCCGAACTCTATAGCCCCATCACGATCCGTCACATCTACAACAGCGCCGATGTGATGTCCAATCTCCGTTTCATCCTCGATCATCGGAATATTGTGTGGCTTGAGGAGTCTTAATCAGGTAGGGTAATCAAAATGATTTTTCATGGCTGCAGGAAGAATCTGCTCCTAGCTTCGTATGCTAAAGCTGCGCACTTAAGGTTACTGACCCAATATCGACTCCATTTACGTATCCATACGCTGCTCCTCTACGCTCCGTCAATCCTAGTTTTTCGCTCTTCAGCACCTCCACTCTTGGTCCAAAACAGAGATTTTCACGAATTCCTGGCGTGAGACACGTTATCAGCGACCTAGTGATAATGATAACTAAAATACGGGAAGAGCTCCTGATAGTGTGCAGTACCTAAGCGTGATAGGAATGTCTTGCTGGTTCACGGCTAATGCAGCTTGACGTCGAATCCTTACAACAGCATTAGACGAATAGGTTAATAACAGAACTATAAACCAGGCGGAGGTCATTGAGATAAAAAATCGTGCAGTTCTTTAGCTTGCGAATAGACGATCCTCCCGAAAACAAGATACACCCGCTGGGCTTACGAGAGATAGCACAACAAAGGATTATCTCTTGAGATTTAAGAGAAGCTAGCCGCTTACATCGAAACAAAACCGTCGCCTATTCACAAAATTTCTATGATCAGAGCTCTAAACTTGAGCAAAAATTTTCAGAGCAGGTAACAATTTGTGTATGTAACAGACTATGTTACCCATAAACAAATCATTACAATCAATTTTCACAAGATGTAACTCGCATTACAATATGAGTAACTATCAAAAAATTCTCGAAAGATTTCTCTTAGTGTCTTTCTGTTAGAATTATATTGGCTCCGTCAAACGCCAGAAGAAGACGATTATCAATTGTTCTGAAAGGTGAAATGAAAGATTTAAAGCGCAAGGTTACATTGCTCAAATTTCCTATAATCCTTGCAGAAGATATGATGTGTAGAGCATTCCGCTTTAATCCAATCTATGCAGTTTGGGAGTTGAACGTCAATGGCACTTCTGGACCAACGCTCAGTATGGTTTAGATACTGCTGCATTGCTTGCTAGAACCATGGAAATTCCTTCCTCATAAAGGTACATCTTTCCTTCCACTACTTTTGAAATTGTAGTGCAAAAGTAGAA